TCATCCTGGGGAAACTGTTGGATTGTTTCGATCTGCAGGTGGAGGGAAATCTCGGTCTGTGGGATGATCAGGAGACATACGCGGTTTGGGTCAAAGCGCCGCTGCCGGTAAGGTTGAGGGTGCGGAGGGCCTGAATTAATGGGTAACGATACGGGGTAGAAGAGTCGAACAGGGATATCCCCGTTAAGGGGACGGTCGTTCGAAGCTGAGGGCGTCATTGCCGTAGAGGTTAGGATCAATACCGTGTTAGGTAGGCTGTTACACTACTTCAGTACTGCCGCGGCCGCAAGCTAGGCCAGAAGCCTTTGATTAAAATAGATTGTGAAAGGGGTGTACACATTGAATGGCATTCGTTGCCGCATTATGATCTTCGGAATTGTGCGAAGAGCCCTTGAAAGAGAATTCCCATCTACTGGACCCTGCCCCTCGAGTCCACCGACCAGATCTCTTCAATCACCCCATTGCGATGCGCATAGTAAAAGTCATGCAGATTGATCGTCGGATCAATATGACTGGGGACCATCTCCACCCGATCGCCAGTCTGCAAATCGGTGGTACCCGCCTCCCAACTCAAAGCCCCATGCTCATCCCCGAGATTCAGATGGGCGTACTTCGCATCCTTACACTCCGCTAGCCCACTATCGGTCGTCAACGACTTCAACCCCGCATCAATAGTGACCTGCCGCTCCCCCTGCCGACTGATTACCGTCGACAAGATCGTCAGACTATTCGCATAGAACCCGCCCACGGCATTGCGGTAATCTGTATCCATGAAGATAAACGACCCCGGCTGCAGCTCCGTCACCCCAGGCACAGAGGCACAGAACTCCGCGGTGCCCGTGCCCCCCGTCGTGACCACCTCAATCTTGTGTCCGTCCTTGCGCAGCGCCTCCGCCGTGCCAGTCAAGATCGCCATCGAGGCCAGACACTCCCTCTTCCGCTCCTCCCGACTGTGCAAATGCTGCAAGTGGCCCTCATACCCCTGCACCCCGATCAACTTCAGATTCTGGAGGTTGTCGACGATATGCCTCCCCAGTTCCAATGCAGCAGCCGTATCCGCCACTCCCGTGCGGTGCAGCCCGACATCCAGATCGATCAGCACCGCCAGAGGTGTGTTGACGTTCGCTTTTCCGAGCGCCGCATCGATGGCCGTCGCCCCGACCGCGCTGTCCACCACGATCCGGATCCCCGGGTGCTTTTTCACCAGCTCCACCAGCCGCTGCACCTTGGGGGCCCCGATGATCTCGCACGTGATCAGGATGTCGTCGAAGCCGGCGGCGGTGATCGCTTCCGCTTCGGACACTTTGGCCACGCAGCAGCCCTTGGCGCCGGCGGCGACGAGTTTCCGGGCGAGAGCGGCGCTTTTGGTGGTTTTCAGGTGGGGTCGGATATTGCGGCCTGTCGGGAGGAGGGTGGAGAAGAGTTTGTGGATGTTGGACTCCATTAAGTCCAAGTCGACGATCATCGACGGGGTGTCGAGGGCGGAGAGGGGGTCCCCGATTTTCGGGTCGTACATTTTGGTGGTTGCGGGTGAGTGTCGTGTATAAGGTAGGGAGAGGGGCTATTAGGCGCAAAGAAAATAGACAGTGGCGGCGAGGAGAGGGGGCTTTGCATTATTTATAAGGGAATTTTGGGGGAGAGATGCATCTTGCCCCTCGTTTCGGGGATTAGGCTTATCTGCATTGCATGAACAAGCCGTGCACGGCCGCCAAGGAGAGAGAGAGAGCCCCTTGCTGATAAGATATCGTACATACCCCGATAAGCTGACAGCGCAGTGTCCAGCAGACGATAAGCCACGGGGTGAGTGTCACCCTTGACCTCAATCTTATCAAATCTCTCGAAAGTCTCTACTAGAAGAAAAGATAAATAGTCCGCGAACAAAAGATATCAACGCTTGATAGTACCTTATTCATATTTGAGGTGTTGGACGTATTGGACCAGATGCGGGGAAGCATACCCGTCAACAAGTGGGGCTGATCATACCCATTTTCGGGTCAACTGGACAAGCCTCCTTGTTTGGTTGAACCATCCGTGCCGCAACCACCCGCATGCGGCAATTACTGGTATTGAAATGACCGTTTAGAATACCGGCTACAGCTGTCGAAGTACATGTACAGTACTGCTCGGTCATGTGCGATGTGGATTACACCATGTGGATTTCACCTTTTGAGATAATCCCGCTCCATTACACCTCCTACACATCCATCCAGTCATTTGAAATTTCCGGGGATGAGGATGACGAGGACGGCCATTGCATGAAGAGCTGGGATGTAGATGTGAAAGGATAGTTTGTAGTACATGACAGCTGCACTAGAGAGGGTGTATAACTTGTCTATGCAGTATCGGTGAATCGATGATTCTATGTAACAGCACAGCTTACTTCAGTGCATTGCATAGCACAAGCTCTTCCCTCGTAGCAAGTATTCATCCCAGATAGTGTCCAGCAAAGTGCTGGCTCCCAGAGCGAAGCACAGCAATGTGCCAGCGTGGCATTAAATAGCATGAACGGGATTCGTCATACACCGAATCTAGAAAGAATTTGAAAGTGGTTCTCATGCTTACTTATCGTATACCAGTGGGTCTCTTCGGTAAGAACCCTTTGGGGCAGATCTCGTGAGATGAATGTGTTCTTTACAAAGAAAATCTGGTCTTAAGATAGCGGGATATCACATTAACAAACTTGTCGATGTTTGATCGTGGTGTGTTGTAGCTGATGACTTAACTTTGCTGACGTTCATATCTAAGCTCAGCATGGCTTGAGGCTCCAAACAGAGCCTGACAAGGTGCGGAGCGTCTTGCATCGCATTGCGAGGTAATAAAACATTCCCAATTCTGGACTCATGTCTTCCTTCAGAGAAGGCCAGTATAACCCCAGGTCCGCAGCGTATGGGTGACACTGGCTTCGTTGCATAGCGAAACAAGCCTGCAGCTACGGGGCTAATTTATCGTTTACGAAAACACTGACCGGGTCTGACAAAAGTGATTTTATTCAATGATGCCTAACATTGCATAATTCAAATCCTGCCTGCGTACATACAGAAAACTACTGATGAAGTGAGATGTACAGCCTTCACGGCGCTGGTTGACCATTCAGCCCCAGCTGCGCCGTCCGAGTTTCATTAATGCGAGACATCAACCGTAGTGCTTCAGCGATAATCGGTCCTGGAACCCTTTCCGCAGAGACGACAATCTCCTCTGGTCCATCGGGCACAGGCCGAGCACGTTGATAGCGGAACCGGAACGTGGACTGGTGGAGCCGGCACGGGGCATCGGGGACTAATGGATCGCTGGAGCCGCGGTCAATCGCCCCAAAGGAAGGCTTCGCATTCCCGAAGCTTGACCCCATGTCCATCTGGCACTGACCCAGGCGCAAGATCACGTCATCTTCATTTATTTTCACATGACCGGGCACGATGACCGTGCTGTAGCCAGCATGGCCGGTGTTATTGATGGAGTGTATCACCGGGACTGTCCAATGTTTCCCGCGAATGTCGAAGATCGTGAGCGTCGTGCTGACCTTTTTGATGCTGCAATCCGTGTCTACAGCCCCCCACAATGCCAGGGCAATAGCGTCTAGGCAAGTGATAGGTGCCATGGTCTTGATTTGCTACGATGATTAGAGAGTCCCGAAAGGGATGGGCTATGAGTGAAGGGTGGAAAGAATGAGTGGGCACACTAATTCTCTTACCAGGGTGCAGTTTCGCACTTTATACCTTTACGTTGCGGCATGTCTACTGCCGTGGAGAGGGAGATTCAACATTTAATGTCAGGACCTATTGCCTCGGAGGCTGCAGAAAGATATATCATATGGAAATCATCGGAGAAACGTGCTTTTAGAGTAGTACTCAACTACATTACAATGCTCATTGTTCGTCAGCGCGGCGCTCAAAGCCAAATAATGCCGAGTTTCGTCACAAGCAACGGGGACTACGACCATGCATACCCTCTCTCATTGTCTTGAAAGCTATCTTGGTGATATTTTCCCCTTTGAGCCCATTTACACAACAAAAATTCCTGATTGTAACATACAATCTCCGTGAAAATGTGCTCTATGCCTTTTCCAGGTCAACTGATGGGTAAAGTCTAATCACGAGTTTATCCTTCACGATCCGCCCCTCTCTGATCTCAAACTCTAGGTACACTATAGGCATTGCTGCATCTCCAGATTAACTTGAGCACGGCATGGATGGGGATGTTCGAAATAATCAACTGCAAAAGTTAAGCAAACTGTGTTATATGCATTAGTCTTCCGGTTCCTTGATTTCAGAATGCAACCAGTCAAGGTGATGACACTGGGTCTATTTTGTCGCCACAGGAGCCCACGATAGATCTCGCAACCAAGATGAAATAGTGGCAACAGGATATTGTTGATTGCTTCACACCAAGAGAACAGTGGCATCTTCCCAGACCCCTTGGCAGTCAACCCATCGTCCCCCCTTATACTGAAGGATACTATAGCCCCACGGACAAATCTCCGCAAACGGCGGAAATGAGGGGACAACCCCTCCGTCAATCAGTCTTTAAGGAACACCGCCCAAACAATTTACTCTAATGCAATTTGACAAGGCACTAGTAATTAGGCTCTTGGGGCTAGCCCCGCTTCTCTTCATGCTCTCTTGCTTCCTACTGGGTGCACTGACACCTTGGCCCCCAGCCGGCAGATTCAGCACACGGGAAGTACTCCGCACAGGACGGGAAACTTTGTGGCGCGCCTCCATCAATCACCGCCGAGGAACTTCACCACATGGTTTCCAATTTACGGATATTCACTAATCCACCATTCTCTAGTCACTTGTCACCGGCCCCACTGCTCTTCATGGCTAGTAGTTGCTTTAGGTGCTACTAGCCAAAGATTCCCTCTGTTGAGCCCGGTGGGGTTGGAAAAGACATATAAAGGAGGTATACTCTGCGGGTTGAGGGTAGATTACGGCCAGACAGTATCGATAAACTGCAATATGGCATTGACCAAGATTCTCAGTCTTCTAGCCGTTGCGGCCCAGCTCGCCACAGCTGTGAGTGTTTCCGGTGCGGCAGAGGGTTTCGCAAAAGGTGTCACTGGTGGTGGTAGTGCGACTCCGGTTTATCCTACCACGACTGATGAGCTGGTCTCCTACCTCGGTGACTCTTCGGCGCGAGTGATCGTTCTCCAGCAGACGTAAGTGCAATCTACCTAGCCCTAATCACCTACCCCTGAGTGACATTCATGATGTCGGGGTGTGATGGCACCTGATCAGCCCCTCGGCCCACCGCCCGCGAGGGCTGGGGATGATGCCATCTCAGACAGACAGATGAATACGTCCATCTCGACGTCTGTCAACAAAACCATAAGTTAACCTACATAGCTTTGACTTCACCGGCACTGAGGGTACCACTACGGCCACCGGATGTGCCCCATGGACAACTGCGAGTGCGTGCCAGCTCGCCATTAACCAGAATGACTGGTGTACGAACTATGAGCCCGACGCTCCAAGTGTCTCCGTGACATAGTACGTGTCTATTCTCTGTCCGATCCAGAATCTTCGAATGCTGACAGTGTGATAGCGATAACGCTGGTGTGCTGGGTATCACTGTCGCATCGGACAAGACCCTTATCGGCGTGGGATCCACCGGCATCATCAAGGGCAAGGGTCTTCGCATTGTCAGCGGTGCCAGCAATATTATCATTCAGTCAGTCTCGATCGGCTACGATTAATGCCTTCTGCTAACCTGATCTAGGAACGTCGCAATCACAGATATTAACGAGAAATACGTCTGGGGTGGTGATGCCATCACCCTCGACGACGCCGATATGGTCTGGATCGACCATGTTACGGTTCGTCGCCCGCAGCCCTGTCTTAGTCTTCCCTTCAACCAAGCTCTGTTTGCCCTATTCGAGCTCACATAGTGCGGGTATTCTCTCGTCCAACCTAACTAACAAGCAAACAGACCGCCCGCATCGGCCGCCAGCACGTCGTCCTCGGCACCAGCGCCGACAACCGCGTCACCATCTCCAACTCGTACTTCAACGGTGTCACCAGCTACAGCGCAACGTGTGACGGCTACGCATACTGGGGTTTATACTTCGACGGCTCGTCCGATCTGGTCACTCTCCAGAAGAATTACATCTATCACTTCAGCGGCCGGAGCCCGAAGGTCCAGGGCAACACCCTTCTGCACGCCGTAAGCGAAACTTTCCCCAGATGAAGTATCATCCGAACCTGAATCTCAACTAACAATGGCTGAACAGGTTAACAACTACTGGTACGACTCCGACGGCCACTCGTTCGAGATTGGCAGTGGGGGCTACGTGCTGGCCGAAGGCAACGTCTTCCAGAACATCGACACTCCCGTCGAATCTCCGGTGTCGGGTCAGCTGTTCACTTCCCCCGACTCGACGACCAACGCAGTCTGCTCGACCTACCTTGGCCGCGCGTGCCAGATCAACGGGTTCGGGAGCTCGGGCACCTTCTCGCAGTCCGACACCGCTTTCTTGGTCAACTTTGAAGGCAAGAATATCGCGACCGCGTCGGCGTACACGGCGATCAAGACTACGGTGCCGAGTAACGCGGGCCAGGGTAATCTCTGAGCGGTTGGCCAGGCTCGAAGTATGCCTTACCCTGCCTGGTGGCAAAGTAGCACTTGAGAGGTTATGCAACGGGAGCAGCCAGATAGCTAGCTAGGAATGTATATATGCACATCTTACATGCCCGTCTCGGTTTATTGAATTAGCATCTGCATGTCCAATCATCAAATCCTACATACAACACTGCTTCTCTCCCACAGCCGACACGCGACAATAACACGAAGCCCTAACCGGAACATCGGCCGTCGCGACGGCAATATCCCGCGCCGACTGGATAAAGACCGCCTCGTCAGTTTTCCTCTGGCGCGTAAAGCACTCATACAGTCCATGCAACCCCCACACATTGTTCAGTTTCGCCCTGCGCCGCGGATAGTCCTTGGCAAACCCGAGATCCTCCCGGAACAAGACCTCGGCCTCTGTCATCCGACCCTGCTCCAACAGCAGACCGCCCAAGGCATGGCGCACGGGTTGCATCCACGGCGGCGGGTCGGAGTAGGGCAACGCATCCTCGCGGCGGATGGCTTCCCGAAGCGCCGCGAACGCCACCTCGTGGTTCCCCTTGCGGTATTCCAGCTCCCCCGTTAGCATGGCCGAGGCAACGCTCAGAACATCCACCTGTTTACATGGGATGCTGTTCAACCGGGACTCCGGGACCTTAGAGCGGGCGGCTTCGAACTCCCTTTGCGCGAGCTCCGCTTCGTGGATCCGGCTCAGCGCGCTGAACGCTAGCCCGCGTGCGTAGAGAATGACCGCGGTCGAGGCGCAATAGAGCTCGCGGTTCGCCGGGAGGGGAAGAGTCAGGATCTCCTCCCAGCGCCCGAAGCGGATGAGCACGTGCGCCTTGCTCGCGACGAAGCTTTCCACCGAGTCCGCCACCGGCGGACTCTCGATGGACAGCAACCGGTCATCGAGCACAGCTTCCAGCTTCTTGGCGGCGGACATGGCGTCCGCGAACCGGCCCGACATCATCGCCGCGTACAGCTTGGCGCAGATGTAGTGCACGCGGTAGGCGATATAGGTGAGCGAGCCGCCGGGGAGCAACGAGAGGCTTTCGCAACTGAAATACTTGTCGTCGGCCAAGGTGGCGAGGTGGTTGGAGTCGACGGCGCGGCGGTAGTCGCCGACCGCGGCGTCGATGTGCGTCGGCATGTGCAGCATGTGCGAGGCGTCGGGGACGAGGGACCGCAGCCGGTCGGCGGCGGGGAGCGCCAGCTCCGGGTACGGGGACATCTCCATGACGTGGATGTGCAGGTGGCAGAGCGCCGGGTGGTGACGGCCCTCGGGGGACTGCATGCCCTCCTCGATGACGCGCCGCGCTTCGACGGTGTGTTCGCCGGTTGGCTTGCCGGTGTCGAGATCCCAGAGCCCGCGCGGCGTCATGCACATCAGTGCGTCGGCGAAAAGGGCTGCGATGTCTCCGTCGGTCCCGAACCGCTGGTAGACCGGACGCATGGCGTCGGCGTATGCGCGGTCCTGGGAGCTGAAGTCATCGGGGATCTGATCGGAGGGTGGAAAGCGTGCCCGGAGAGCTCGGATCAATGCCTCTTCGACGGGGGTGGCTTCAGGCATTAGCTCCCAAGCACACGTCAGAGCGCGGTTGGCCTTCTCAATCGAAGAGTAAAGGTCCTCCTTGTCGAAGAATCTGTACGCTTTGTTGTAGTTGGGCCCGGTGGCGTAGGCGATCCCCCAGTATGCCATGGCGCACTTGGGATCGTGTTGCGCGGCTTGCTCGAAGCATTTGCCGGCTTCGCCGACGTTGAAGGAATAAGCCCATACCAGGCCTCGGTTGAACCATGTCTGTGCTTCCTTTGAGGTGGTTGTCACCGTGCGAGCATGGAAGCCGAGGTCGAAGTAAGGCGTTTCGTTGGGGTTTATGCGTTCCCTGGGGGAAACGTGTCAGGTGCAGGCTTGAACAGTGGTTGGGGGAGTCGACTTACATCATGCTGTGATGCCAGGTAATTGTATGTTCCCAGTGGTATCGACTCACCACACTGTCAGCCGATATTTATAACGGTGTCTGATGGATCGGCGACCTCGGGGCCAAGTGGGATGCCGAGTCGGTGATTATTCACAACGCCACACTCTTCAGGCGGAGTACAGCGTAGTGGGTAACCGGCTTGGTGGGATGCCGTAAACCCGGCCTCCCGCGTAATTAGAGGCCGGATGTCGTGTCATGGTGAGGATCTACCCCTGTGGGATGCCGACAGCGAGCACAGCGAGCATTTAGGTTTTGATTCTTAATTGCACGACATGCCACCCATCGACGCCATGCCCCTCAGCCATGAGGATCATCTCGGCAAGCTCGACCCGAAGGCCGCTAGCTCTTCGACTGCCACCGGGCGCTCAGCACCGTCGACGGGGCGCAGAACCTGTGGCCGTGCCGGCCGTGGTAGGGCGGAAGCTGTGAGGGACGGTCCACGCGACCATCGCCGGCAGGGGGTTCCGCATCACCAGCACCCCCTGCAAGCATTTTCTGATCGGCCAGGTCACTGGGACTTTAATCGAGCCAGGTTCGTTCGGCATGCACGGGACAGCAACTAGCCGAACGCTATACACATTTCCGGCGACACTTGTACATTGACGAGCTGGAGCAGATTCAAGATGGCGTGCACGTGACGGCGACGATTATTGACCTGGGCAACGCGACCTTTGAACTTGGGGTCGGTGCGTTCCAGATCAATATGGATGGCAAACAGGCGGTGCGGCTGTTGCAGGATATCCTGGAGTATTCCCTGGCGCTGATGCAATTTGAGTCATGGACCTATGTCAAGAAACACGGGGCGGATTGGGCAGGGTGTTCGAGGAGGCAGGGTTCTGCATAAGGTCTACTGGATCACGCCCAGGGCACAGAAGGGTATACACTGTAGACTTGGGTGGAGGGACAATATTTCCTCCGCTGTCGGTTCGCTCGTTGTGAGGTTTCAACTGAACTGCCATGAGAGATGTTTTGCACACGGCTAATAATTTTAGCATATTCACCAACTCACCGGGGGTTTAATTCCAGAGTAAATAGGGAGAAGCACAGTGTCACCGCACTACAAACTTCTTCGTGAGATTTACCACCAACTCAAGGGCGCGGAAGTAAGATCGGAATCAATGTTATCTCCGTAGAACTGCGGTCCAATGTATGGCACTGCACAGCAGCAAGAGGCCGCAGCTTTTTGGAACTAAGGTGAAACCCAGACTGATGTGTGTTGCTGAACCGGAATCGGAGATAAGAGTGGACCGCATTGCAGTATTTATTGCGCTGACTTAATGCCCCTGGATGACGCTCAACTGTCCAATCATGTTGTAGCATGTAAGCCACGCAATGCGGTGGTCTGCACAACATGTGGCTTTGATTCAAGTCCTATTGCCCACGTGAGTAGTGATTTAAGAGCTCCTGTTCCACTCATACGTTTTTCTCAGACTGATTAAGGCCCTTCAACAGAAACGATGGTGCCGATTGCTACCGTACGAGAAAACAACTCCGCCATCACTGGCCTTTACGGGTCCGGCCTGGTGGGTGTGTTTGGTGAGTTGTACAGTCTATCAATCCGCTGCCATGTCACCAGTGATGCACTTCGCCTATAATCCACTAACAGGACACGGTGCATACAGTCGGCGGAACCAGCGGAATAGGCGAATCGACCGCCCGCGCCTTCATCCGCAGCACCCATGCCTCACGGGCGTACCTTGTCGGCCGCGACCAGGCCCGAGCCAGCCAGATTATCGGGGAATTGCAACAAATGAAACCAGACGCGCAGATCACGTTCATCAAGTCCGATGTCTCCCTATTACGAGAGGTCGACGAGGCATGCAGAACCATCCAACAAAACGAAGACAAAGTCAACATCCTATTCCTGAGTCCAGGAACCGGGACGATGAAAGGCCGGGACGGTACGGACCCCCATCTCCTCAGGGCAATCCCAATGTAAACCCTCCTCTTCGCCCGAACCCCTTAGCTGACTGCCGTGACAGAAACCGCCGAGGGCCTCGACAAAAAACTCAGCCTCCACTACTACTCGCGCATGCGCTTCATCGCCAACCTCCTCCCGCAGCTGCAGAAAGCCGGTGCTGCCACCACCGCAGACGGGAACCGACCCGCACTCTCACGCGTCGTCTCCGTCCTCGAAGCCGGCCACGAAGCAGCCCTGCAACTGGACGATCTCCCCCTCCAAACCCACTACTCGCTGCGCAACTGCGCGAAACACGCCACGACCATGACCTCCGTCTCGATGGAGCATCTCGCCGCCGCGTATCCGCAGGTCTCGTTCGTCCACTCATTCCCGGGGCTGGTGCGGACGCGGCTCGACCGGGATTTCGGCACGGTCACGAAGTGTGCGCTCGCGGCGTTGATGGTGCTGGCTAAGCCGTGGGAGATGCCGCTGGGTGAGAGTGGGGAGAGGCATTTGTTTGCGGCGACGGGTTTGCGGTTCCCGGCGCGGGGATCGGGGCAGAATGGTGGGCGTGGGGTGGCGCAGGGGTCGGATGGGGATGCTGGGAGTGGGTTCTATCGGCTGGATTCTACCGGGGAGACGTATCAGCCCAGTGAGCTTATGCGGCAGTATCGGGCGGAAGGGGTAAGGGATCTGATTTGGAAGCATACGGTTGATGTGTTTGCTGCAGTGCGTGGTGGATAGGAGATTTGGATCTGGTGGGGGGTAAAGATCCCTCAGAAGAGGGATTGAGAAGTCGATTTTCCTTTCCTGTAGAGATGTCGTCCTGTGCATGCAATCTGGTAATAAGTGGCGTAGTGTGAATGGATGCATTAGACCTTTGTACATGGCAGCTTTGTCCCTGGATGTCCGCGGGTGTGCCAGCACACTTTAAGCAGCGTACTCGTGGTTGTGCGTAGTGGTAGTACAGTATGTAGTCCCAATTCACCGAAATGGTAGCGAGGCATTCTGTGCACCGAAGGCTGTTGTTAACGTGGCGCCCACTTTGAGCCTCTGAAGCCCCCGTCTACCCCTCCAATAATTACTATGCACGATTATCTCCGGGCACCCCTCAATCACCCACGCCCACTTGGTCACAAATAACTGCGACACCTCCCAGCTCTGCGGCAGCCAAGGGTCTCCCCACACCATCATCCCGATATCGCCGTTAGTGGGGTCCACGATATCGGTACACAGCTCGCAATCATTGAACGAGTCCGCGGCCCGGACCAGATTGTCTCGCATCCGCGGGAACGGGAAACAGTCCAGCCAGGGATGGTGGGAGATGGTGCATTGAGTCGATGTGGGGAAGAGACTCGCCGGAAGGCTCTGTCGGCTAGGGTTTCCTGGGGAAGCCATATTGAATGGGGAGATAACGTCATCTCCCATGGCGTCAATACTCAAACCCAATGTTACCATATTATCCACAAAAGCACGAAGCACATTAAATTTGGAGAGCGTAAAGAGCTGGTCTAGGCAGGGATCGGCGGTATAGTATCGATCATAGGCAGCTGCGCAGAAGCGCGTCATCATTGCTACGGCCTCGACGAGTGTGGTGGGCTGGCTTTGCGGTCGTCGCGGACTCAATATCTGGTCTTCGACTTGGGACTGCTCTGGTCGTGGAAGTATCAGAGCATATGAACGGGGCAGATCAGCCAGGCTCTGCTTTTTGGCCTGCTGCAAGCGCAGGGCTTCTTGCCGGTCTTGGCGTTTTCGCGCTCCTGTTGAGGCCGTTAGTGTGTGCTGCGATTGGCTTCCGCTCTACAGCGGGTTTTTTGTGGGTTCAAATGTTGAAATGTAGAGTGGATGTGGGTTGCGTGTGGGTGCATATTCAAGGTACCTACGCAAAGCACGCTGGTTGATCTTGTTTTGCAACTTCTTGCGAAGAGCAGGATCGGTGATCCCGGACCAATCCTCGTCAGGGCGACGGATCCGCTCTTTCGGGGAGGCCATTTAGACGGTAGCTTCCAATTCAGTGTGGTGCAGCCGTTGAAGTTATGCAGGCTATGATTCGTGCAGTTGAATGTAGGGAGATTTGCATAGGTTTGCCGGTGGATGCAGAGAAAGACTGCTGCGATGAAGGGGCGAAATGGCTGAAGACTCAAATTGATGACTGATAGAAGGAGAGGTCGATGATTGGCGGACAATCCGTCCTCCGGATTTTGAGCTCTAGGATCATTAAATCCGACCGGACTTGAACCCAATCGGAGCAGCGTCCGTCTCGGGGGCTCGGGTTCCCCGGTTCCAAGATCCGGGATGACGGTTGTACAGCCAATCACTGGGCAGCACAGTATGTGCATGGTGCCCTACAGATTTAGTGTTCTGACGGTATTAGCTGGGATAGAGTAGGTATTCCCCTTGCTAAGAGTGATCTATGCGATTCTTTGAGTATAGCTGAAAAAATTCAAATGCAACGATACCCAGGTGCGATCAATGCGCTTCAGGCATTCGTATATGTTTCAGTTTGTCTTACGGTACCAACCACACTCAAATCAAAGTACTTAACATGAGCAGTGAATTTTAGCTGTTTTCAGTATCTACCTCTCTTTTTTGCGCCCAGGGTCACATAGTAAAAGCATGGTGATTGGAATTCCCTACTGTGACAACGAAGCCTCAGTACATGATTATCGATTTACTGTCATTATTACACAGACAGAAAAAGGTCGTAAAACTGAGAAGGACAAGGAAAAGGCATAACAATACAAGCAGAGATCAGCAGGGCGCAATTTTCACCAAATAGTGTCAACATGCCCAACAAGCTCTCCTTGCACCCATCTGAACAATTCCTCCTGAAGATCATGGTTCTGACTGAGTTTGGAACCTGCTTCGGCTTTGCCGATCGGCCCATAGTACTGACCATGTTTTACCTCAGGGTTCACCGCGGCAAAGATCTGCGAGAGGGCGCCTTTCTCGACCGGGGTAGCTGCCAAGCACACCGCAGCAGAGAGGAAGGGTTTGAGAAAAGTCCCTGTGGAGGCATGGTGCAGGTTCGTCGCCACCATGCCCGGGTGCACAGGAATGATCTTGACCTCCGTCTCTCTCTCCGCCAAAGCCCTCGCGTAATGCAGGTTGGCGAGCTTGGATGTGGTGTAGCGCTCTGTGGTATGTCGGCTAGGGGCGGTGGTGCGAAGTTCGTCGAATTTGTAGACGTCACTGGGCGCCCGAGCGTGGGCGGCCGACGAGAGCATCACCATCCGGGTCTGGCGGTTGAGTTTCGTTGTAGAACGGAGAGTGGGGAGGAGGAGTTGCGTGAACAGCGCGGGACCGAGGACATTGGTTCCGAACTGGATCTCGTAGCCATCTTGCGTCAGACCTTCCGGAGTCATCATGATTCCGGCGTTGTTGATCAGGATGTCAAGGCGAGACTCTTGACGGAGGAATTCTGCAGCAGCGGTTTTGACGCTGTCAAAGGAGGCAAGATCGAGCTGGAGGAAACGAATGATGTTTGTGGAGCTGGGACTGGCTCTGGTGAGCTCTGCAATGGCTTGCTCGGCCTTGCTGCGGGATCGTGCGGCGAGATAGATCCTAGCTGGGTGGTGCTCACTGAGCTGACGGATGGTCTCGTATTCGAGCCCTACATTGCCTCCGGTCACGATTATGACCTGGTCGTGGAGATCGGGAATGTCTTGACTCCGGAATGTAGGCATAATGGGCCTCAGATAGTAGTAGGTTGAGAGTGAGTGGTGTAAAAGTAGCTGATTGTTGAAGGTAGTGCAATCTAGGAAGTCTGCCTGGCAACATGCGCTTGTGTTTAAGAATCACTATCTGGTTAACAGTCACTTCGGCGGATCTGCTTCAGATCTGCATGCAGTAGACTATATAGGCCGCACTACTTTCGACTCTAATATCAGACTTTCATGTGAGTTGGGGTCAACAGTGACTACTATAACCTACCTGTAGATACCTTCAGTACCCACCAGATTTATGTCACCTCGAGTGCCTTTGATTGGTTTGAGATCTGTCATCCCAGTGCACTTATTTTCTTGGACTTTAAGTTCCGTTCCCTTGTTGTCTGTGATTGGCTGGTGACCCGTCATCCACATGCATATATTTTCCAAGCAGGATGCAGAGCTGGTGGGTCCCGAGTCTGGATCCTTGGCTTCCATCCCGAAGACTCTGGCCAGGGGAGCTCTACTAAGCCAACATCTCACCATGTATACACAAGGCATTCACCCAAACGAGTAAACGAACGACGATGATAATCCTCGGTCAACTCAGATCTCGAGTGCCTGGGTTCAGTCAGTAAGCCTTGATTGATGAGTTCAGATCTGCCGATTTCATCTCGTGGTATTGGCTAACCCTCTCCTGGTCATTCCAGCATAGATTGAAAGCAGTGTAAGGGAGAAAGAGGGCGGTGAACCGGGTATTTTACTTCAACCTATCTCGTTACGGTCTTGGAGACATAAGCCGTGCTCATTATCGTATCTCTGCGGCAACTCTCTTGAGACCAGTCCCTGGTTCTTACGTACCCGTGTTATTGAAAATGCGAATCTTGTGTTCATAGTTAAGGCTGGAAGCTCAACAATACAAGGATCTCAATGGCTGCCTACCATCCAGTAGCTCACCGGTTATCTGAATCACGGTTGCAGCATAGAACATTTAACCTGTGCTCTTCTCCAACTACTATACAATTGTCCTTGTAAAAACCAAACCCAAGGTGAAAACTCCAACACGTTACCCCGCCTCTAAATCCACGCCGCAAGCATGCCCAACGTCGCCCCTGCAAGAGGCAACAAGCCACGTAAGCTATTCAATGAGGTCCATTTCTTGAGCAAATCTTGGCTTCGCGTCTCGTCTGCTGCGGTCAGATCCTTTGGAGATTGCGCCAGGGCGAGAAGGGCATTGTTGGTCGGTCTCATGGTGAGGATAGTATACGGCACGATGCCGAGGGTCAAGACGGCTGCCGCAGTGTATAATCCGGCGCGGTTGTAGGCGGCGGAACGGAACAGGGGTCCACCGGCACGGACGGACCAGGCGAGGTACAGGAACGCCGATGCGGTAGCGGCGGCGATTGGAGGGTTCTGCGTCTTGCCCTTCTCGTAGAACCCTCGCCACAGCTTGACGACAACACTGCTGGGTATCGGGGTTTCCTTCTGGGTTTCTACCACGGCGGGCACAGCGATCAGACTGAGTGCTGCGATGTTACCTAGACGGCAGTGTCTTTAGTCAAGGGGGCTATTCTGTGGGATAAGCAATATCAAAAATGGGAGCGTCATCTGCTTTACTGTGCGTACCTGATAGCCAAGCTGCTCCGCTGAAGCCAATGGCCTGAGCGAGACGGTAGCCTACGGGAAATGCTGTCATGATGTTTAATTAGGGTTTTGATCTGGCAAGAAGCGTAGTTAGGATAGTCGTAGTCGAAATCTCTTGGGAAACATGTAGCATCTTATAAAGTTGATCACAGAAAAGTATCTAGCCATCGACATCATGGGCCATTCATACGATTGGCCAGAGATGACCGCTTGACTTTTCCAGAGTCCGAGCCAAAGTCCGAGCAGCGGGTAATGATTGCATCGTTACTTGCAGATTACCGTACCGTACGTAAAATGAAATGAGATCGGTGGTGATTCTCGCACTGTACTGTGCCTTACACCCAGCCTGTAAACGGATAGACTCAAATCATAAATCTAACTTGGGGTTCCAAGGCCAGAGCCAAAATTTGTGCTAATCAGAGTCGTTATTCGACACTCCCTCGTACACCGATGAAAAGAAGAAAGAAGCATCATTCATGAGCTTCAGTCTTCTAAACAAAGCACCTCAAATGCCTAATATCAAACATGTTTATGGAACTTTTTGGTAGGGTTAATTGTCGACCATATCTTAGTCTGTGTAGCGCATTATAAGTAACTCCAATAAGGGTTGTTCTTATGATATCCAGCGAACCACTACTATACAAATATGCTGATAGCCAAGAAGCTTCCCAGCAAAGGAAAAATCGTCCGCACCAGATTCAGTGTCCCCCATCTGGCGAGTGCCGTTTGTATATCTCGGGTCGAATACGCCGACCTGGCCTGGCACTCAGAGTCGGCAGCCGCAAAAAGAACCATCTCCGGTCCTTTCAGGGCCACAATCGTGTAAGGCACGATGCCCATACACGCGGTCGCGGCCGTCAGAAGCTGCTGGCTCTGCTTTTGGGCGGTCACCAATCCAAAGCAGACCTCTGATAGCACGATCAACGGGGTGCCTAGGTTGTGGGATTTCCGGTGGACATGAACCCATTGCTGGGCAGCGAGGCGCGTGGATTCATGAACGGCGAGCTGGGCCGTGCTGACACCGGTGAAAGAGAAAGTGAAGATAGTACCTGCCAAGAGAGGTTTGGTAAGTCTTGTTTGGATTCTGGTTAGATGTTAGGTCAGGGCTTGGCTCAACCTACCGGCCGCAAGGGAGGAAGAAATGACACCAGTGACAGTGACTGGAGACAAAGAAGGCATCATGCTGGATAGCCGCTCTCAAAACAAAACACTCAAGGAAAGATACACTGATGTTTAACTATCAGGAAGTAAGTCTCATCTCACAGCCATTTAAAGTACAGTTGTAGTTGGCAACTTGAAACTTACGCACTCCAGCTCTACGGACGCAGGAAAGTTCCAAAACCCGACCGGATTTAGGGCTGGATTGACAATCCGTCAACCAAACACATACAAGTAGCAAGGTAAGTTAGCATCCCAACGAACAAATATAATATTAACATTCGGCTTGATGGTTACATAGGAACCGCCATCAAAAATTGTTTTCGTTATTATCCTAAATCATCGGTTACAATGCCCAGGTACAACAACGTGATCATCTTCGGTGCTACCGGCGATGTGGGATCTGCCGCTGCCTTGCAAGCCCACCAGCAGGGCGCTACCGTGTCGCTGGCGACACGAAACCCCGCAAAGCCAATTCCTAAGCTTGACCACCTTCCTTTCACAAATTAGCAAGCCGATTTGACACAGCCCGATACCCTGAGAGCGGCGGTTCGCCAGGCTGGCGCGCAAGCTGCTTTTATATATGGAATCTTCGACGGGGGGGGACTTCATGAGGGTCGCGCTCCGGGCACTCAAAGAATCCGCGGTATAATTTATCGTCTTCCTAAGCAGTTTCATTACCCTGACCGACATTCGTGAGGTGGGCCCCTCTGACATCGTCCCCTGGGAGCATGCCCAGGTGGAAATCGCGCTGGAGGAGATCTATGGGAGCTCCGGCTACCTGGCGGTGCGGCCTGCATTCTACGCCAGTAACCTTCTTCACGAGAAACAGGCCATCCTACGGGGACAAGTCAGACTGCCCAGCCCCGATGCCACTTTCGACTTTATTTCATCGGAGGATATTGGCCATGTCGCGGGGACGATCCTGGTCAATGGCGCCCAAGAACGCATCGTGCGGCTCCTTGGGCCCGGGAGGATGACGTTGAGAGAAGCGGTAAGAACTGTGGGCCACGCACTGGGCAAGGAGGTCCAAGTCACTACCATTACTCGGGGAGAGGCTGCCGCGCAGATGGAGGCCGCCGGCATGCCGCCCGCTATGATCCAGTGGCATCTTCATAACGTTATCGATCGCGCTGGATGGTACCTGGAAAGTCCCGAAGCGCTCATGGCACGCGAAAACATTCAGAGGTATGCCCAGCATCCTCCGCAGCGCTTGCAGCAGTGGGTAGAGAGCAATCTGGCCAGGTTCCTGGAATGATTTTCCGGGACTGAGCAAAGCTTCTAGTTGAGGTGGAATGCACGGTGTGGTCGCTGCACAGAACGAAGAGCCTGTTGCTCCGACCTCACTTTCACGTAAGAGAAAGTCCTAGCATATATAATTATATAGACAAAGCAGTACATGCCTACACGTGTTGTATCTGCTGCTCCACTTAACTAGTCCAATCATGCTTCCATGATACCCCTTGCGCCGCATGCGGTAAAGCCAGACGATTTCACGTGACCTACAGTAAATAGTGCTTTCATTCCTCGGATCTCTCTTTCCCACGCACCAAGTTCCATCGATCAAAGCTCATCACAAGAATGCAGGTGAGCACGCCCCTCACAGTTCCACCCCGTACTTGAACCGCCTCTGATCGCAAGTTCCAGGGCGAGACACCAGCGCAGACCGTCAGCTCCCTGGGCCAAGCGCTGCGAGCCGTGGGCGGCCTGACCAAGCCGAGTGGCCGAGGGTTATTCATGTTCCAGTGCCTGCTGGCGGGGAGCTCTACGGCGGCCATCATCGGCCTGTTCGGGGCGACAGTGCTAGGTTACGCCTTCACGGCCGGCGCAGTCGGGTTCCTGGGCGGCTCCTGCGTGGGTTTTCTCCTGGGCAGCATCGGGTATTATCGAACATGCTGCCGTCAGAGCTTGATCGCTTTCATCAGGTATCCCGAGCTCATGAGACACCACATTGATATCGATTTCGGCATGCATGGCGTAGAGAAAGCCTCGCGGTTCCGGGGCACAAGTGTGCAGAAGACTGTGCAGGAGGTCCGGAGTGATGTGGCGCTCCAGGGGATGTTGGTGGCCGCCTGGCACTCAGCTGTGCCGGCTATCGAGGTGGGCTTGTACTTTCAGTCGTGGACGAGGAGAGGGCTGACCAGGATTACGGGGTCAGGACATTCAAAACCAAGAGGAGGCTCGGCTGGTATCTAATCAGGAGGGCCAACCATGCAAGACATGACAACGAACCGCATTCGACGCGACGCAATGAATAAATAGGGGCTTGCAGTATATCTACAACACAAAAGCAACTACGATACGGTCTGCCACCACGACATGGGGTGTTTCATGAGAAAGGATTCGAAGATGAGACTTGTGCTGAATACAAGCGGAGATGGATTTAAGATCAATCATGCTCCATCCGAACTCGAGACGGCAGACCTTAATCGAGGCGCCGACTCTGGGTACGGAACTGAATGAATTCAATCATCCATTGAAATTATGTTCACGATGCATCATGGTGGGTGGAGGGAGGTTGTCATGTCAGCCTTGCCCTGAATCCGATAAGCACTAGGGAGATGGGTGGATGCCGTAGCCGCCCTACGGAGCCACTACTATACCTCACGCTTACTTTACTGCATGCATGACCACGTCACCCCTGTAAATGTGTTTACACAATGCCTGATTGGTTGCCTCAAAGAAAAAATAAAGGATGAATAAAAAAAAATGAATTTCTCTCCGAATCCCACCCCAAACTCCTCTCGCTTGACTTTCAATGCATCTTTTCGCACACGTGAACCTCAGATATCAATAACCTTTACCCATGGAATATCTCCCACAAAGAGAGGCCGTGATAAACAATGAGAGAAAAAATAAGAAGTCCTCCGTGTCATAAAGCTTCCCGTACAGGTATACAGTACTTATAAGCGCGCGCCACAAGGTCAAACCCCCTCATGCAGGAGACAGTGCGTAAGTTTGGCCTCTCTCCACATAGAAAGGGCCACCCTTCTTCCTTCTGGTCTCACTTCCCTCTTCAACATTCTTGCTCTCGTCTTTGTGCCTTGTCCCTACCTTTTTTCTTTGATCTGCTACTTTTAAATAGTATCCTACATCCGAAAATGGATAAAGTATGGTTCACCCTCCGCCAAACCGACTACCCCGCACCCCCGGAAGAAGCCCTACTCTCCGGCCACCACTTCGGGAGCAACATAACCTCGTCCAACCCCGGAAATGCACCCTCGATGACCCTAGGCCACATCATCCCCTCCCTCCAGCACCTTGACAACCCCATCAACGCCCACAACCTCCTCCCTTTCCCGATCCGCATGCAAGTCTATCGCACCACCACCACGAACTTCGTCTGGCAGACCACCGCCCACGACGACAGCTCCACTGCCCTTAAGCTGGCGGCGCCGATTGCCGGCGCTGTCACCGGGACCGCGACCCCGGGGCTGAAATTTAATCTCGCATTTAAGCAAACTGTGGCGAGGCATGAAGAGTATGCGCAGTTGGACACGTACATTGTGACGCCGACAAGGGGCTATATCCAGGATTGTTTGGATGCGCTTGAGGAAGAGGAGGAGTTCCGGGGAAAGCTGGTGAATGGGAAGAGATTGAGGGCGTGGACTTTATTTATGGTGACCGGGCTGAAGATTGCGAGGTGCGCAAGCAGCCACGGGGGAGAAGGAGGGGGAAAAAGGGAGGTGAGTGAGGAGAAGGGCAGAAGTGGGAGTGGGGGACCGGATGTGTAAGTTCTATATTTTCTTTCCCATTTGCCTTTCTCACTCTCAATCAATGGGTCGTACATGTTTGCTATTTCTGAGTGAGAGGAGATGCTAACGCGGGCTCTTTTTATTGTGCAGGGACGTCACGGGACTCGCCACCGTGACTGCTACTCTCGACCTTGCGCGCGAGGACACCAGTACGATCAAAGGAGCGCATCAGTCGGACTTCGTGTGGGCGGTGCGATTGGCAAAGATCTATAAGGGGTGGCTTGCGAGAGACTGGTCGCTAGATCCATACACCACGGGGGCTACGTTTGGAGTGGAGAAGGAAGAAGACGAGGATCTGGATGTTGAGAAAGTGCTTATAGGGGAGGGACTGAGTCGCTTTGAGATTATCACAGGTGACGAGGCTGATGAGGCTCTAGTGGTAGTTTTAGACGATGCGTAGAAACATCATCCTTTTTCTTTTCATAGAAGTTTGTCATCTGCATATATACCTCGAGCTCAATGTTACAAAGACGAGTGGTGGAATAGAATACTGTCATCTGCTGCAATCTGAAGCTTCAATCTAGTCCGCACTCTCCATAGCACGATGAAGACTCTCTCGCACATACGCGCGGTTCCTCTCGGGCTCGTTATATTTATGTCGTTCCGGCAAGAGCCGTAACGGCGAAACGCACTGAAAAGAACCAGCTCTCTTGGACATAAACCGGAAGATCGCCGTCATACCGGCGAGGGAGCCCACGTCAGCCACGCGCTCGATGGTCGTGTTGTCCGCATGCCGGCTAAAGTCAATAATCCGAGCCGCCAACCCGGCGGCAATGGCAGTGGCCATGGAGGTTCCGCTCTCGCGTATCGTCGGGTCAGCGGGGTGCGCCAGGTCCTCGCCCAAGATGGCAAAGTTATCTGCGTGCTCGCGAGGCTCCGGGTTAAAGGACGAGGCCTGGTCATCTGGGTTGGTCGAGAATATGCACATGGTCTTGAGGTTATGGCGGGCTGGGAAGGCGACGCGGCCGCGATTGCCCCAATTCGACGCGGCGGCGAAGATGAGCACCCCTACATTGCTGGCTTGATCAATTGCTCTTTGAAGTACGGTGGAATGTTCAGCAAAACCCGCGGAGATGCTGATGATGTCCACTCGGCGCGTGGGGTCGATTGCCCATTCGATAGCCTGGTTGTTGATGATATCAGAGCGTGAAATCAGAGCTCGAAAAGCCTTCAGATGCTTGAAGATAGGAAAAAGGAGAAGACGAACCTGAGCCATGAGGCGCGGCCCGTGCTCATGGTCGGCGTTGTTCGTGTCAAACACCCTTGCTATGTATAACTCGGCGCCCTCACATGCGTTGGTCAGGAGTGTGGCAGAAATGGTGCCATGCCATGTGTTATCACACATTGTTGAGCTGCTGCCGACGAAGTCCTTCCATTCGATCACGTTCATCCGGAGACCAATTGCTGGTTGAAGACCGGTATCGATAACCGCCACCCTGACAGCTCGATACCTTCCCTGTATCTCTGAAGGCGCTTTCATAACACTGATCAAGTCGTCGAGCTCATCGAACCATCTATCCGACATACGCGTGCTTTGACGACTGCTTTCAGACTATCAGCGCATTACATCGAGCAGCTTGCTGCTATTGTGTTTGGAAAGTCTCAAGCTCACATTTTCACAAAAACGCCACCTGACTCTGCACTCTGTCCTTGAGTATGTGGCTGCGGCGGGTCTGGAGGCATTTGGGCTGCGGATCGGAAACGCAAATCGTCGCCATCAAGCGGCAAAGGCATGGTGGCGAGTGGTTGGTCTTGGGGTGTGGAAGCTTGCAAACTAGGCGGATTTGGTACGGGGTCCTGCGTAATTGCAGCAACGTCGCTTGTCGTTGTCAATGTCGGCGCATGTGTTTTCTTGTCTCCCGGCAATCCGGCTCGAACTGATGTTGTATATCCCACGGCGTCCGTCTGATAAGATCCTTGAGCAGAGATCTCGCTAATTTTCTGCCGTATCTTTCGAATACATGTCGCAAAGCGCGTTGCATCTGACGTGGAGCCGGGTTAGCTACCGAGCTTCACGCATGCTGTTGTCTGGATTGCTGGACTATGCTAACCTTCCCCTCGATAAAAGCTGAGGCGGACGCACTCGGCGAGCTTTCCACGATAGGATACATTGCAAAGCGACACATGGAGTTGGCCCTGAGGGTGGTGTTCGTCTATGACTCGTGTTTCTGGAGCCACTGGAAAAGACGCCGCCCCGTCAGATGGTTAGCCACATCTCGATTGCAGGTAATGATAGAAGCATCTGCCTCACCTAAACACATAGAGTGCGACGATTCCGAGTTCCAGATACTCTGGTAGCTTACCCAGATCTCGAAGGATGTGCCTGAGAGAAGTGGCGAGCGTTGTTGTACGGTGGGAATGGCCTCGGGATGGCCATGCCGCAAAAATACCTTCGCCGAATCTGGTAAGCGTACACGGTTTTCGGAGCCATTATGATAGGTTGTTGTGAATGTGTTCACAGGAACAGGTTGGCTTGGAGCAGAGAAGACGGTTTAGTGGATCGTATGCTGTGAATATACATTCCAGTAGGCTTACGAGAACGATATACAGATGCCAGGACCGATGCCCAGTCGCCATGGTACATTTCCGCCGGCCCTCGTGTTGGCCAACCCAGGCCCGGAAAATGAACCCAAACGAAGATAATGGCCCATCAGCCGGAGGGACACTCCCTGGACAAGGGAAGCGGCTGGATAGTGTCAGATACACAACACGTGTTGATGTTTTAGCATTCCTGGCATGACTAACATTCAACTGATGTCGCTGTCAGGCACAGAATGACTCTAGCCTTTGTCTTCATTTTCTGGAGAATTTCCTTCCACGTGCGGGCTGACATGGTTCTTATCTCCTCGCACAGGTACCCTGAAGTAATTGTAGCTATGATGGTCATTACACGTTAGTTACGGTACTGGCTCTGCAATACCACCCATGGGAAGAAGGCCGACCTCCGTATTGCAGTTCATCGTGGCCATGCTTCTCTGTGCAACAGCAGCTCAGTTGAAGTTGGTATGAAACTTTATCAAGTCTAGTGGAGAGGCGCACACGGGAACAAACAAGTACAGGTTTTGCTTGCGGGTTGCGGATCAGCTCTCCCACTTCGAGCTCATGCACAGCAAATGTTGATTCTAGGGCTGCGGCTTCTGATGGAAAGGATTGCTGGGCAAAGCGACCAACTAGTGTTGCGAGGCTGCCAAAGCCTTGGTTGACATCCTCGCAGGCACTATTTTGACTCATCAATGCGGTTGGAAAGAAACCACTGTTTCCTTGATTCTTTTGTGACTCGGGGGGGGGGGGGGGGGACAGACTGGTGAAGCGGTGTTGGCCTTCGAATATACGGATCCATTTTGATTTCAGGTGGCAGTGCGCAAAGCCCCCAGCCGTAAGCGCTTGTGTGCGTAGCGAGTCAATCTCTGCGCGGAGATTGGTGGGCTATGGTGCTGACCCCCTGCGGCTGCATAGACCAAAGCAAACTTGGTTGCCCCGCACCCCCTTCGAAGTCGGTCATTAGGCATAATAAAATCGGCGGTTAGGCTTGAGAGTGTTATGCTCTAACTGCTTCTTCAGCCTCCACACACTTCAATCTCTTCCTTTTTGACAAGAAGAACCATATACGATCTCAAAACCGCAATGAGTCGCCATATCCCTCGACAACGTATCCCTTCAGGAATTGTGTTTTCGGCCCCTCTGGACCTGGAATCAGCACCGCGAGATATCCAGCCAGTTATATTTGATCCAATACCGGATCAAACACCTAAGACGAGCCATCCTGCCTCTCACGGCAAACGCCACATTGTACGTGACAGACATGAAAGCGACCATATTGATAGGCCGGGAAGGCCCTTCGGTGATGGCATCCACACATTTTCAGCCTTTTTTAATACTTTCGATGAACCTCATGTGCCGAGGAAGGACTTGCAAGACAGCGCATTTGTGGGAGCAGACCATCACGAGGCAATGACTACATTGTGTCTGCCGATGCTGAGCGTCGACATTGAGGTAACGGTGGACGGTACCCTGGCATGCAGCGAGTTGACCCAGACCTTCCGCAATCCGTCCGACACGACGATCCGCGAAGCCAAGCATACTTTTCCACTCTACGAGGGTGCAACCGTGACAGCATTCGAGTGTACGATCGGCGACGAGCAATGCTTACGAGGGGTAGTCAAGCCCAAGGAGGAGGCAAGACAGGTCTACCACGAAGCGGTAGAGAACAAGCGAGAGACAGCAGCATTGCTGGAGGAGCAGAGCTCAGAAATCTTTGTGACGTCGCTGGGAAACATTCCGCCTCTGACGGACGTCAAGATCAAGCTGACTTACGTGCATGAATTGAAGGTTGTCTTGATGACCGAGCGCAAATCAGAGGGCATCGCGATCATCATTCCCACCTCCATAGCGCCTCGGTACGGAGTGTCGTTCCCGTCGCAGCCGCTGAGATTGACCGAGCTCAACTTAGTCATCAGAGTTGCTGCCGGTAGCATCACCGACAGTGAAGGTTGGACTGCAGAATCACACCATTCGATCGATTATCAAGGGAGAGAACCCATGAAACGTGTATTTCATGTTTCAGACGCTTCCCAGCTTCGCTTCGTCGATGAATCACCATCGGCATGCCAGCAACAGGACGTGTGGAAATATCATAGTCGCGAGGCAGGCTTAGAGGGCGATTTGGTCCTTGTGCTCCCAGTGCGAACGGGATATCGGGTCCAGTCCCGAGCCCTAATCTCCCCCCCGGACTTCAACGGCTACGCAGCAATGCAAGTCAGCTTTCGCCCTTCTGACCTCTTTGGCACTGCTGTTCGACCGAGAAGCTTCACAGGCGAGATTATTTTTGTACTGGACTATTCCGGATCCATGCATCTCAGTCGCCAACGACCGCAATCGAAACTCGAGGTTTTGGGCGCGGCTATGTCCTTAGCCTTATGCGGTATCCCGGATACATGTGCCTTCAACGTCCTCAAATTCGGCAGCTCAACGGAGGGGCTTTGGGACGAGTCCAGGCCTCACTCGGCAGAGACAATAGAGCTGGCTCGAGCTTACACCACTTCCCGCCCCAACCTTGGCGGCACTGATTTAGTCCGAGCACTCAAAGCTGCCGTGAAACATGTGGACAGTCAAAGGTCGTCTGCCCAAATCATCATTATCACGGATGGAGAGCTTGATCCCATGCCGGTAGCAGAGTACCTCTCATTAATCCGGAAGAAGCTGGGCAACAAACTTCGGTTTTTCGCGCTGGGAATCGGGGACCATGTGTCTCACAGATTGATCGAATGTGTGGCCGAGTTGGGTGGCGGCCTCGGCGATGTAGTGGATGTCGTCGCGCAACCCAAGTGGGAGAACCGCTTGAACCATCTTGTCCGTGCAGCTCTAGAACCCGACAGTTGGAATTGTGAGATTAACCTGGGGCCGACATTCGAGCGGCAGAGCCTCGCCTGCGTTCAGTCGGGGAAGGATTATCCCTCGTCGATGGAAACCAAGTCCCCAACACCCTACATACAAGCCTCATTTCCAATCCCGGACTTGCATCCATTTTCTTATAAAACCATTTACTTTCTTATTTATGCACGCAACGAAGCCTTACCCCGGGACGTCACGGTGACCTCCACCCACCCGACCGCCAAAAGCAAGTCCTACAAGCTAGCTGTGCAGATCAGGAGCGTCAACGGATGTTTTCCTCATCAACTAGCCGCAAGGTCCTACTTGACAAATCTAGAGACCTTGGCGAAACGGGAACACAGCGATCACGGCCTAGTAAGAGCAAGTGCAGAGCATCTGGGTCAGACCTACTCCATCGCCAGCAAGTGGACAAGCTTCGTTACTGAGCCCCACGGTATTGAGGACGAATTGTCTTCTATGGAAAGTACGGTGTATCAAAAAATTGCAGCACAGCTTGATATTGAGAAGGCAATGAGGGACTATGTGATTGCTGACGAAGAAGGGGAGTTCAGAGGTTCCCAACGAGAGCGACATTGCTCCCCGATACGGGATATAGTTTGCGCCAATTATCCCACCACAGGTCTGTTGAGAACCGTGTTGCGTAAAATTCTGTCGTCGATTTGGGGACGAGGACCAAAGCGGAGAATGACTCCTCTGTGGAAAATGGATAAGCTCCCCAGGCCAGTCACGAGACCCGAAGCTCTGTTGGCCGACGACTTCCATACCAAAAACGAAGAAGAATCAAGTCGCTCCGCCAGTACTGTGCCTTCTACGCACACAAACAGAGACCAAGAGTTTCTCACCTGGGAACACGCCGTGACAGACCAGATGCCAAATGGAACATTTCGCCTTCTTGACACGGTAAGGCAGAAGCTTGGCCGACACTATTGCCCTACCACTGCTGTCAGGATACGGGAGATGGTTCTTGCACTTCTTCACAGCCAATGTCTTTCAGATAATCCTCTGCAAGACTGTACTGATACGATAATGATGATATCATACTTTCGCACACATATGAGCCCCGAAGAAGATACATGGGGTCTGATGATGTCCCGCGCCGAGAGTGCACTGCTAGCCACCCTAGGTTACTCGGACGAAGATGAGGATCAACTGGAGCCAATTTACGATATGCTACAACTCTCTAGCATGCACCAGCACTTTCGAGGGTTTCAGCAAAGTCGGAACACGGAACTAGCAGAGCAGGCGGAGGATGAAACAGGTACCAATTTGAAGTGTCCTGTTTGTGATGAGCTATTTGGCATGGCAGCTGGCGTTCGACGTTATTTTTGTCCTTACGAAGAGGATGAGGATGGCACCGAGCTAAGTACAGAATTACAATGGGATAGCTGGCTCGCGTACTGGGATCATCAGGTTCAGACGGGACATGTCCTGTGTTCCAAGGTCGGGGTGTTATCGGATGCTTAGTGCGTCGTCGTCCAGGCAAGGCAGATCGCTGATCCTGCTCTAAGTTGCTATATTCACGATCTGATCATCGGCGGAATAGGTGAATGACTTGATGTAATTTATAGAGTTTGCTCTATTCGTGAGTGTGGAACTCGAGATATTTCGCAGCGCTGGGTGACCTGAATATTGGTCTCATTCTTCGATCAAGGCAACTTGATACTCTGCTTAACTCCTGACACATCTCTTTTGGCACTTCCTACAGAAAAGAGTCTCTCGGAGTGACATATACATAGTTCAAAACATCCTTCCCTCGCAGTGAAATGGACCCAAGGTTATGCTCATAATCATCAGAATAACACCCCTGGGTGATCGCACCGCCATATTTCTTCGCCGGTCAGCAGGACTATTTCCTGGCGTAGAACACCTTCGGTTTGAAGGAAGACTCCGTAATGCTCAATCTCGTCGCTTGAAAATCGCCAGATGTTGCGGGAGCCGACTGCATCTTGGATCTAATCCACTTCATCAGATCAACTTGAGCGATATGCATGTAAGTCATAGACTACCTCGTCGAAAGAATTATTTTCGGCCTGAAAAAAATGATAATAGCATGCCCAGGTACTGATGTAACCTTCATGCCGAAGTTGGAGGTTATGTTTTGACATAAAGTCCTCTGGCGTCGACGCTTTCCCATCGAACCAGTACAATTTTTTGTCGGAACACTGCACAATCGACGAGATCCCCATAGGACTTTTCAGGCCGCTGCGGGTGAAAAACATGGTGACAGAAGAGAGACTTCGTCTTTCGTTTATGTTTTGGGAAGGGATGAAAGGCCAGCGGTTACTGGCGTTGCAGTAGGTTATAACTCTGAAAGGTTGGAACGAAATTCAGTGATTTTTTCTAGAGAGCATGATCGGTATTTATAGCTTCGGACCGAGGAGACGGCTGGAATGAACCGCTATAATGACGCAGTTGTGGCTCGTCTCCACCTTCTTATTTTTGTTCTTATTTTCACTTTCCCAACGGGCCGCTTCAGCTTAGTGTTTGGATCGCGTAGAATTTTCCCCACTTCAGCTCCCCACGCAGGGGGCTGTGAGACTGCTGGGAGAGATCACTCATCGGCGGGTATCCAGCCCCGTTTATCTATCTGCCCATCTCCAGCCTACCAGTATCAACATAGCTTGGTGCCTTCGGAACATAAGGATAGGGCGCTAGCAACTTTGTATCACTGGTCTAGGTTATCTCGGCTGCTTTTGCTGTTGAGTGGGACATAAAGCTCCTTTGTGATTATTAGTGATAAGTTGAGATGTACCCGGCAGATCTAGAGATATATGTCAGGTCTTCTGGCATACCACCAGTACCTAGATGTTATTTTGCCATTAGGTATTGCGTCAAATATCGCTAATTGGCGTTGTTTTATATTCATCTGTTAGGATTATCAGTATATGTCCAGTAGAGCCTTGGACCTCAAAGTTCGCAGCTTTAGCGCCAGTAGCAAATTATAATTGTCCCTGTTGATGGAGATGTCTCTTTCTGTAATCCCTACGATGTTCCAACCTTTCTACACCCTTGAGCCACTCTCCTCGTCATCATACTTAAGCTTCTAGGCAAAGGCTGACGTTATGACTCATTATTCGGATTCTACAATGGCGCGCTATCATACAAGACCCCGGCTGAGTGACCGCAGACTGATCACCGTCTCAAGATCCTCATACCGCAGCTCTCGTTCCTGGTCTCGCGCCAGCAGATGGGCGGTTTTGAGGATATTCTTGATCTGCCGTCCATTGAGCTTGATCTCTGCTAGGCTGTCAAAATGTGTCCCCATGAATCCCGTACTCTGATCCAGATAATGCACCCAGATCTGTCGCCGGGAGACGGAGTCCAAGTCCGGATACTGCAGGGAGATGTGGATTCGCGAGTCAAAGGCAGGATCGATGATTTCGGCCCGGTTGCTTGTGAGGAAGAGGAGGCCCTGTGAGGATATGAATCAACAGTTGTCAAGGGCGTAGCCAGAGAGCGGCGCGCCAGTGGAAGGGAAAGGGCATTGGTTGGACTTGCCTACCTCATAATATTCGAGTTTTCGCAGGAAGATTGATACCAGCTCATTCCGTGCGAGGTCTGAGGTCGTTCGCGCTTCCAGGAACACATCGGCCTCGTCAATGAGAAGCACCGCTCCCCACCGGGGAACGATCTCCAGAACTTCCTCCAAGGTGGATTCCACCTTCTCGGCGCTGGTGCCAAGGTCGCCCGCACTGAGTATATAAAGGGGGGCCTGCATGACTTCCACGATGCTTTCTGCCGTCAAGGTCTTGCCTACCCCTGGGGGACCGCTGAGTAGGATGTTGACGCCTTGGCCTTTGCCGCGGACCACGTCATCGAACAGATCCAGGGACTGTGCCTTGGCGACTGCCAGAATAAGCCGTTTCAGATCTCGCTACCCGCGAGGTAAGACCGGCAACTCGAATGCGCGGTCATTCCAGACGACATCCTCGACATAGTCGATCAGGAAGGGTCGCCAGGACTTCTTCCGCAGCGAGTAACCCTTCAAAATTGGCGTGGCCAGCAGCCGTTGCTCGTCATTCAGGGTTTGTTCTTCGATCCTCTCATCGTTTCCACTGCGAAATGACATCCCGCTGTGCTTGTGATACCCGACCGCGTCGATTACAACCCGTCCGGGGCCTTTGAATTGTCTGTAGTGGCACCCCTTGTATGCCTCCCAATTTTGGCCCCCTGTGACGAGGCGACTCCGCATGGCCTCGGGGTCAGCGTGGTTCTCCAAGGAAAATAGCGACAGCTTGTCGATGGCCATTGTTCCTTGGAAGGGACAGATGCTGAAGTTCTGATACCGCATATAGTACTCCTCGCCGTTGTAGTCGACAAAGCCCGCCTTGATGTCCAGGGGGACCGTCGGGGCCATGAGTCCAGGAGTCGACGCACTTGTACGCACGCGGCCATCCTTTCTGCGTCGAGAGCAGAATTGTATGCGGGCTGAAGAGGGTCCAGAGGAGGTCGTGGGTGATGACGCCGTTTTTCAGGCAATCGGCGCGGCGCGCCAAGATATCGCCTACCTCCCTTGTTAGTGTGCGGTGGAGGATGTCCAGGTAGGGTCGAACGGCAGGATCTTGCTCGCTTTCACGAGTCCGGCAGAATTGGTCCCATCGCCGGACGAACGGGACAAAGGGGAACGAGAAGTCGACGTGTTCCAGAGTCATGGTGATCCCGGGATAATCCGCGAAGACGGGGCCTAGGGCTTTCTTGACCGCCTCGTTGCGGAGAGTGATCGAGTGGACCTGCAGCCGTTCACCTTCCTCCTTGGACCAGCGCACCGCCATGGCATACCAGCCAGAGGAGTCCGAGTCGGCCGGTTCGATGGTGAAGGACAGGTCTTTCGGCTTCTCAGTCGTCCATACCCCGTCCTCTTCGGCACGGTAGAGGTTCCACACATCGCTGGGTTCGTCTACTGATGTTTTTGCCGATGCAGCGTCCCCTGTGGCTCAATATTAACGACGCCGGGAGATTGATTGATGTGAGTAGCTTGATTCAGGAGGATAGGTAGATACCTGTGAGCTCTGGCGAGGTAGGCTGTTCGTTATCGCCATGTGCCATGGGAGAAGATGTAGCAGGTAGGTCCGTGGTCGTCATCTTGTTTTGCCAGGATTGAATTCGAAGCTACCACACATTCACGGAGAAGGAAGCTTGCAGACAGATCTCTTCCTCTTATGTAGAGATCACAGAAGCGCGTCTCCGCTGGGTGACCCATCGTTTGACACATTTTTGACACATATTTCTACGGTGGCAGGCATTCAACCATCCTTGCGGAGGCTCTTTGTCCGTGGCGTTGAGATCCATGATGGTACTGGGGGCTGTTGAAAGATTCTGAGCAAATGTGTGATGGCTGTGGCTGAGACAAAATCTGACTATGTGCGCACCAGACCGAAAATCGAGAATGCCTCCCAGCCCTTCACGTCCGTTTTCATTTCATGAACAATGCTCAGTGAGAAGCAAAACGGCGGGAAGGGGTCCCCTCTGATTGGCTCCCTTGCTCAGGGGCCCTGGCAGTACATCGGATACGGAGCAAATAATACGTGGTGGATTTTGGTAAGTTGCAACCCTGAAGTTGGGTATCAAGGTAGTACGTAGCTGGGTCACTCATATAGAGACAGCATTCATCTGTCCCCGTGTTATCATCAGCTCAAAATGGTCATCGATAGGCAAGCTCAATCCGATCGAACTCACTCCCAGCCATAGACCAAGCCTCCTGTCGCTGCGCCACAGATTCGGCTAGAAAGTGGATTCGTGGCGTTACGCCCGACTGCACTAAGCGAGACTATTGAGTTGTGGCTGCTGCGCTGTATTTTGGCACACTGTGACTCAGTTTGTCCATTTAGAACCACCGGTAATTCGGATCGGGGCCTAGACACTCACAGGGGCTTTTCTCGAATCTCGGGAAACGACTGACGCGGTAGCAGCTGTGGCCCAGTGCCGTCGTGCTTTTCGGCCGTTGTATATTTCGACTAATCTAAAGTTCAAACAGCTATATGTAAATTACGTACCGATTCCAAAAGGAGGGGGGGAAATAGATGAAAGAAGAAAAGAAAGACAATGGACAAACAAGGAAGCCCGTGGGATAGATTGGTTGATGCCCAATGCCTTATTCCATCCGGCTGTTTGGTCTAATCTACTCCGAATCTCAATGGCAACGGCAGGCTCAATTACAAACCTACTCTGTTAACTCTCGCAGAAGAGTCGAGACAATTTCTGCAGCTGCCGTTTGCGGGGCGACGAACCGCGGGGTTGCGTTGCAGCTTCGGGTGACAGTCTTGAGACCCACCTATAGCACCTATACTCACGCGATTTAGGTACTTATTGTGCTGTTTAGAAAATATGCCACAGACGCAAGTGCAGCATTGACTCGTTGCTTTCCGGGTTTCGATCCATGCTTCCATTTACAGTTAGACCCCTGCAATTTGCAAGCCAAGAGCGAGGCTAACTTGTCTAGCCCTATCGGAAGTCCACGTACTAGAACGAAATGACAGACATCGCTCTGCATGGAGCGGAAAAGTGGCAGTAAGAGCCAGCCACCCGAGTGCACCCTGCCAACCCCTCGCCAAACGGCGTCCAGGCTGATTCCAGGACTGCCCCGGATGCAAAAAAAACGCGGAAGGCCTTCTTAAATGGCTAGCTGAGGTGGCGTGTTAGGCGGTAGTTAGAGACCATCTCATTCCCAGCTTCAGTAGAGGAGACAAAGGCTAAGCACGAAAGGCCATCTTCAGCTGGACCTTAGGAGATGCTGTTCAACTTACCTGCAGGAGCGAAGGGCTTCCGTTGAATTTTACAAAAGGTTATGAAAGTCTTACACCACTGACTTGGCTGGTTCCAAGCTTGTTTTCTTGCTCGTGCTACTTCCATTCCAGTTTTCTTCTTCCTCTGGCTACTTCCGCTCATCTCAGACAATTCTCCACACCTTTGACGGTCATTCGCGCTGTCATGGATAAGACTTCGTCACAGCTCTCCGGTACGGGGTGCGACTTCGTGGTAGCCACCACTCAAGCGAGCATCAACTCCAGTCTTCTGAACTACCTGGCTGAACGCAGTCAACCCATGGAGTCCATCTTTTACTTGGCGGATGCGAAAGGCGATCCCACACTGGAGATTGGTCGGGGTCAGCTTCTGGATAAGACCGGCGGGGTTGACCCCTGTGTTATCGAAGCCGAAACTCTGTGCGATGATCGTCAAATCACCACGGTCACCAAGGCGCGCTTCATGATCGTGATCCGGATGTAATTGGGTCTCCCGCCGGGCGTGAATCCTCGAAACCTGTCCGTTGTCACGCTTGTGGGGGATCGCCCTGACCGTGTCTTGTTCAACATGTACTGCTCCCAGGTCACCGTGATTCAGAACACACCCCCGGGCGGATGGGGCAACCCCGGCTCGTGGAATGTATGGAACCAGCCGTATGGACAGCCATGGGTGGCCTAGGCCGAGGTCGACCTCGTCGTGGCCGATCTGGACCACAATTTGGACAGTTCGAACTATCTCAACAATCACCCCGACGTCAAGAACGAGCTGAGAAAGGCGTTGGTCAATGTCTCGGGCTCGGCCTTCAGCCTGCAGCAACTCCTGTATGGTCTGGCTAATGCTGCTCTCCAAGGGGACCCGCAATTTCCGGGGATGGACATGTCCAAGGACGCGGGGTATATCCTTCAGATGTACTTTGTGAAGCGATATCAGACATAGGCAAAGGAGCATGGATTGCCTCTGATTGCCGTCACCGCCGCCTCGCAGGATCCTGATCCCTCCTCCCTCATGATGACCTCATTTGAGTGAACTCTGACCCATCCCACCGGAAGCAATAGCTCAGCTACCACCTTGAATTACCTCCGTGCCGTCGAAGATCACCCAACCGGGATCTCTCCTGGACCGTGTGCCCAGCATGGACGATGGTACCGTTTGGCCCGGCCAGTGAGACGTCTCACGCGATCACGATCACCTTCTCAACTGGGGAATCCCCGATATTTCCTTCCTTGACCTCTTTTCCTGGATTATTGCCGTGAGCTATACCGTCGCCTGCAAGATCACGCACGATACCCGCGCGCCGTTCCCCGATCACCCCTCAGTATCTGCCCTGATCGCCACGAGCAGCTAGGAGGAGCTTTCCGGTCTGTTCGCTTCCTCCTTCGCCGCCACCACGAGGCCTTCCACCCAGCTCGCCATCTCCGAGGCGGATTCGTCATTCTCGGAGCTGCAAGACATGATCTTTGCTACCGGCCACGCCCTCGCGGGCCTCGCAGGCCTCATCCTCGGCTCCATGAGCATTTTCGAGGCCAACAGTGAGACGGCCAAGAACCCCTTCGCAACGCCAGCGATGATCCTGGGGATCGTCCGCGCGGCGCTCCAGGGGGTCACGAACCACTTCGCGCCGCGCGACCCGATCGCCAACGAGTGGGCCCTCCTCGGCCTCGAGGTGCTCGTCAAGGTCTTCTTCGCCGAGAAGACGCAGGGCGCGCTGACCCAGCTCGGGAACAGGAGCGCCAGCGTCGGCAAGCTGGTCTTCAGCAACGCCCGCGGGCTTGTGGCCATCGTCGACGCAGTCCTGATCCCTCCGGCGATCGTCATCACCAGCTGGCACATCGGCGAGCTGGCCCAGAAGCCTGCGGGCAAGGTCAACTCCGCCGCCATCCTGGAGGAGTGCGGCAAGGTGGCCTCGTGGATCTCGCAGTGCGCCTACGCGATCGCGCTGAACGACCCGGAGCCGAATTCGAAGGAGCTGACGGTGGGGTTGACGGGGCTGGCCATCTGGATCGCCGCCGGGTTTCAGTTGGGGGAAGCCGAGTGGTGTTGATCCTGCCGTGAATCCTCCTGCTCTTGATCAACCGCACAAAGATCGATACCAAGGACCGTCTTCTTCTTGCAGGAGACTTGCACTTTGATAAAAACCAGACGTTTCCTCATACCTCAGCCCTGGGAGTTATGGCATCGGTTTTTCGCCGGGCTAGGTATTACTCTATGTTAGGCAGTAACAAAGATTATCAAACAATGCCAAACTAGTTTACGTTGTACATAGGTATAGTTGGTGTGAGAAAGAAAGAAAAAACCAACAAGCATAGAAATAAAGTGTACATTCACAATTGTTGACAAATGTTTGTTCCTAGAATAGTTGAAATCCAAAAGCTACTTTGAATTCTTTTTTTGGTGTATTCTTTTTTTTTTTTTGAGTGAAATTTCGATAGAGCCGTGAGTTTAACAAATAGAATCATTCCGACAGATTTTGACAGCAAAAACAGCATCGTGCCAGGCCTTGGACTGTGTATAAACTAGAGGCGAACAGGGTAAATGAAGAGGGTAAGAGATGGTTTGTGGCGGTGGCAGTGTTAATGCGATTTCCGCAGGTCCTCTGTTTACAACACGTAACTAGATTGTATGCTCACTATTACTGGATTGACTTGGGCTTTGTATACTCATGTGGGAGCTTAGTGGTTTATCGAAGGGGGTGTCGCATTTCAAATTGCGAATGGATCCTGTGCATCCAGGGTCCATCTTTTCGAGTGTCCTCATGAGATAGGCCGTGCATGATTAATTGGCTTGATAATTTTGCGTAACTCTGTTGACAATCACATACGACCACAGGGTGTGGAAAACAGGGCTTCCCGTCCGCTCAGCCGTACTTAAGCCACACGCCGGGAGGTTAGTAGTTGGGTGGGTGACCACCAGCGAATCCCTTCTGTTGTATGTTTTTGCTTTATTTTTGTATTTTTCAAAACAGTCATGGATAATTGGATATCAATCCACTCTAGACGCATGCAATACGCGCCGTGGCTTGTTGGAGACGCTTTGCTGATGTCCTCAGGTCCGGGCTAGGCTCAGCCTTGTCGGTTTGACAGCCTCATTTGCACGTCCTTCGAAGCAAATTTCCTGAGGTGCATAGCCCCCGCCCCTCGTCCTTAAATAGACGTGATTTTCCCTGTCTTTACTTCTCCAAGCAGTTTCGGCAAAGAACTCTTTGTTCTGGCTTCTGAAAAGGTCACCACGATATGGGTTCTCCCAAGAATGCAGAGTCCGCCAGGACTATGCGGCCATCAACTCCCACCCGTATTACTACGATTTATCCCAGCCCTCCTCCCACACCCATTGCGCCCGGCAAGGCAGCCGTCTCGAACCGAGAAGAGAAGCCCAACAGGGCCGCAACCCCTCCCGGCGAGAATGACGACCAGACCAGAACAGGCACCCTGAACTCTTCTCAAAAGGAAGAAGATCTAATACCAGAGTCAGCTGAACTACCCCCATGGCCAACCCCCACGAGCATGGAGGAGTTTATCAACTCGATGCTCAGAGAGAATACCTGCGGGGGCCGGACAACAAATAATACGCCATGTAAAAGATCGCGCCGACCTGTGGCCAGATCTGTGGTTAACGAGGGGATTATATCCTTGCGGAGCCTGCCCCCGTCCTGTTCCCATTCAAAAATGGTAGAATCATTGAAGAGGCTTGCGTTGTTGCTTCATTGTTCCATGCACAGAAGCGAAAGGTCGGTCAATACTCGGGTAGAGGCCTGGCTGACTGAGTATTTTCTTCGTCCCGGTGACACCACAGCCCTGCTCAGAAAGGCATTGCAAAAGTACGGTACCAAGTGCAATGGGACGAAAGATGACGCAAGGCCATGTCAAGAAAGTATTGGGGGAAGACAGGTTCTGGCAATACAGTCGATCACAGACAGAATCTTAGAGCCCGAGGTTTACCTTCACGATGGAAGGTTGAAAGTATGGCTGAAAAGACTCGGCCAGAACACTCTTTGTCCCCAGCATAGAGACGAACAGCTCCAAGAGCAAGTGGCTAAGCTGACGGCAGCTGTTACAATCGCGCGAGGCTCGCAGTTATCGACAGAAATAACCAGAGGTATTTCTGAGAACCAGCACGAAACAGAAGAGCCATGGCAAGGTCCGTATGCCCTCCCCTCCCCCACATTCAGGCTTATATTACCCCATAGATCAAATAGAACTATCTCTGACGCTGAACCAGCCCCAGGTTACGATACCTCTCCTCTCCACCTTGTTGCGGATCTCAATTCGGGTAGCCAAGGCTGCAAGCCGGACAGTAATTATCTCCAAACGATCCGCGACTGTTTAATTCCGCGAAATTACAAGCCAGGTTATGTCTACGCTTATACCGTGGATGCAAATGAAGCATTCGTCAAAATTGGCTACACCACCCGCGAGGTCTCCGTCAGGCATGCAGAGTGGGAATTCGAATGCAATCGGAAGATCAAAAGTCTTTACCCTGATCCGGCTGCCACCGGCGTGCCAATTCTTCATCCCCGGCTCATTGAGAGCATCTGCCATGCAGATCTCTGGAAAGGAAGTGTTCGGGTGGATTGCAGCGCTTGTCAAAAAGAACACGTGGAATGGTTCAAGATTTCTGCGCAGAAGGCAATCGATACCATTGAAAAGTGGTCTCAGTGGATGGCTCGGGTGGCCTGTCGGCCCAGCTGGAAGAATGAAGTAAAGATGAGGGTGCGCGGTACTTCAGACCTTGCAGAAGCATTGCACGCATTGATGCAGCTTTGCCCAGCTACTTGCAACTGAAAGCAGTGGACAGTCTGTTTTGATTGTCATTGTTTTTGAGCCAGCTTTGCCGCTTTCTTGGTTCATTCCATGTGGTTTTGATTTATCTGATGTTGTAAGCTTGGTTCTGTATTTTCTATTCTAGAATAAACACTAGGCCAACCTCTTCAATGATGTGATTAGGGGACCTCTGCTACAGCGGGTCCAATATCTAGCTGTAGAAGGGCCGGCCTTTTTCCTTTTTATGCTTGGCGGGTAAATTCTGTACTATGCTTCTTGCCTTTGCTATCTTCTTCTGTATTTATCTAGAAAGCGCTCTAAAGCCCTACTTGAACTCTCTCCAGAAGTATTTATGTTGCGGAACAGAGTTTTTGTTTCAATTGACGGATATCCTGAGAACAGTCGACTATCCACTCTCTGGAACTTCATTTCCCAGATCTTACCCGGCTCTCAAATTGGTCGTAGTTCAAATTTCGTCCACCACAAGTAAATCGGGACAGGTTACATGGCAGCCGTGGGCGCTTGGTGACCGCTATCTTATTTATACTGTTGTATGTATTTGTTTTTGATCCTGCATCCACTGCATCTTTGTCTCCTGGCTGTCTTATCTAAAAGGGTTGCCGCGGTTTGCTGCTTGGGTCATCTTCAAGAATCAGCCTGGCTGACCCGCCTGATGCAACTTAACTGATATGGTGTACATTGCCAAAACAATGTCCACTAAGGGTCACTAAGCCACTTAACTGATTCCCTCTTGAGGCCACCGACTGCCCCGAGCACGTAACTGCTTTTTGTGTGCATGTACCTGGTAAGATGCCATAGTACGAGAGCATGACTCTTGGCAAGATGCGAGTTGTTGACCAGTCAGTGGGTAGGACGGCACATTACCACTGACTCAGTTCTCATTACTTAGAAAGTGTATGCCAACCTGCTGGACTGAAGCTATAGCACCGCGGGGTTTTTCTCAATACCATCCCTCCTCAACTCAACTCGGTGCTCGGAACAATTCCCGGCCATGAAAGTGGGACCCCAGGCCCGATCCGAGGCCGAAACGGTAGGAGTTTGCGAATCCCCCCACACCACTGCACACGAGGCTCACCTTGGCATTTGCAGGCTGTACAACAACAACAACAACACAAGAGAATTGCAATTACAGGGAAAGCCTGATTTGACTGCAAGTCGACTGTATCACGCTACCACCGTCGAGCAAGCATGGCATGCGCCCAAGCATGCTGTTTCGTGCAGACCCACCTCGAAGAAGGCGACATGGCATCCGGGCCCCACCGTCGGTTTTGTCTGCGAGGGTCGGTGGGCAGGAAGACTCTGACAGTCACACGCGGACATTGCCGTAAGGACCTGACTTGCCCAAATCAGATGGTCAGATTAGATTGCCACGATTTATAAGATTGATAATCGATGCTGTATCAATCAGAAGCACGACAGCTTGTCACTTTCGGACGGCCGAACTTCCGATGCCCGAACTTCCGACGTACGATCCCATCTAGACATAACCAGTGGAATCCAAGAGAAAAAGGCCCCTAGAACGGACGGCATCCTTTCGATGCGTCGAGAAACTAATACTGCGGAAATTGCCCGATGGCCAGAAGAATCTCGTCTTCGGCTATTACTGCATCGGGTCGGGCGACAAGATGAATGCCAGTCAAGTGAACTTACTCGGCAAGGAAGCGAGGCCAACGATAACCTGTATAGTGGATAAACGTGCGTAGGCAAGTATGGCCCGGTAAGTCTTGGCCTTCTGGTCGAACTACCAGCAAAGACAGAAGAAAACTCTGCGCAGGCCAGTACGGTTCCTGTTCACTCATATACAACCGAGACAGAGATTAGTGTTCGGGTGCAGGTCGCGGATTTCCTTGGCATGGACGGGGGGTCCAAGAAGCACATTTCGCCATAGATGCTTGAGGTCTTGGCTGTTAGGCCTGTTCAGGAATGAACCGCCGACAAATGCGTGCCCAAGGACGCTTGATACAAGGCAAAGTGTCGAGCTCGGAAGAACTGCCGATGATGAAGTGGAGAATCGAGTCCCGTCCGAGCGGAAAGGGTAGGAGCTTGCGAGAACTTACAGAAGAAAAACAAAAACTGCCAAGAATCCCCACATCCGCACTGAAGCTCATCTTGGCGACCCACTACTACTGCAGGCTGTACAGACTGCAATCTCCAAACAAGAAAAAGAAGCCTATGGGTGGCTATCTCGAATCAGGTCTGTTCTCGCAAAGTATGACTCATTTAATTAAGATTATTTGATAACAAGCAGGTAGCCGAGCGTAGTTTGACATGGATGAATTTTCTGACAGCAGGAAACAACAAAACACAGAACCAGTCGATCAACCAGAACAACGGACGGACATGATGTCCGGTCCGCCATCAAAGTTGATCATCACCTTTTTTTATTCCTTTCTCCTACCCTACTCTTGCCGCACACCCCTGCTCACTTCATCTCCACCATCTGCTGCTCCACCACAGCCTCCTCATTGAACAGCCCACTGTGCACCTGGCGCACAATATCCTCTCCGTTCTCCTGCAG